TATTATTATGCTTTTTACTTGCCACTTTTAAGTGATCCCATGTTGCATGGGAGAGATGGAGAGATAATATAACTTTATAAGATGTGAAAGATGTACTTGTATCTAATGATGTGATTTTTTTATACGCCCAAACAGATAGGTGCCAATCATCAAAAAAAGGACAACCTACATAAATAGTGATTCATAACATATCTAACGATATTCTTTATATGATTACATATTACAGTCATACTAGTGATTAGTGGGTGTTATCTGCATGTCTCATGATAAGTTATTTTCTAATTATAAATCTTGTAGTTAAATGCATACATGAAACAATGGTGTGCAGGGCTATAGATCTTAATACTATAAATATTAAGACATCTTGAACTTTAATTGGGATGAGAGGTACTTGATTTAAGATTGAATCTTATATCTTTGGGTACTCTAAGTGTGCATGGTACAATTTTTTGAGGGATGATGAGATTCTCAAAGTTTATAGGAATTTTTTGTGTAACATTTACTACTACAATGTTCTAAACTAGTATGAACCTGATCTGGTAAGTCATGCGTGTTTTGAAAATTCTATATGTTCGCTCTACATATGTTTGTGAATGTTTCTGTATGCTTGTAAATATATAAATTCTATTTTAGATCAAATCTCAAGGGTCTATATGTGTAAAATCCAAATTCTCAAAAGTTCCCCTTGGGAGTGCCGCAATGCTGCAGCATAGGTTTGTCCTTGTTCGTTGTGGCGCTGATCTAGCACACTGTGGTGCCTTCTCTTTGAAATTCTAGTTTCTGAAAGACCAAAGGGTGTTGGGTCTCTTAGCGCTGCAGTGCTAAGCAACATTTTTAATAAATATCAAAATTCACAAATTTTTACCAAATGCTAAATCATTTTACCCCTTAAGCTGCTTGTTAAAGAGAGAGAAAGAGAAATGAGGATGATTTATAAAAAGAATGAATTTCGGGCGACTTCGGGTCGGTTTTTTCCATCGAGTTAGTTCAGGGATGTGAAGTAGGTTACGTTTTGCCTATCTTAAATTTTAATAATTTGGAGTTTTGGGGATTTTCTGACGTTAATTAAAATTTTAATGCAAAAGTGGATAAATTCAATCACGTGATAAATTTTACCGTGTAACTTTTGATATGTTACAATGTCAATATTTCACACATTTCGATATTTATTTGTAAATTTTTACTAGGCAATTCTAAATATACGTCATTTTGACAATAAAAAAAAATATTCTAACATTTAAAAATAGTGCTATAATAAAATAAAATCTTCGAAATATACCTATCAACAATGTGCGATAGTTTGTTTGTTTAATTTTTAAAAATATAAAATTTTGTGTTGATTTCCCCTGAATTTTTGTTTGTGGTAGTACCAGTAGGGCATTTTATAAAGATGTTGTGATAAGTCTAATATTGTTTATTATTTCTAAAAATGTGATTATTTTTGTGTTTATATATATATATATAAATCATGTGAATCGACGAAGTACTGATAATTTTTTGGAGATTCTGCTGCATTATTCACAAAGTTATAAAATCCAGAAATTATGAATATGATATTTGAATGGTTAAAGACCTGAAATTCTAAATATGTGAGTGTTATCCACTGTGAGTCATAAAAGTCAAAAATCTAAATTATGTATTTGATGGCATGTATAAGGGCCTGAGCGGGAAATGAATGTGTTTTGTTCTGAGCACTTAATGTGATGTATTTACTATTATGTTACTTATTAATTAGTGTGATAGGTTTACGATCTGCTATTCTGTAGAAATCTATTGGTTATGAGAAATATGCTTATAATTCTATATGAATGCATTAACTCTAACCTTTTGTTCCATTACTAATGTTTATTATTAAAAATTTGGGTAGGTTCAATGTGACCTACTAAGCTGTGGTTTGCTCAAGCCTGCTTTCTGCATTTGTTTCGGGTGAGAATAAAAGGAAAGAGCAGGTTGAGTATAGAATGATTGTAGGTCCTAATAAATATGTCTATATAGATATGTTTTATTAGATTTTGATGATCATGACTTTTTTGTTATGTCCAGTGATGTTTATGTCATGCAATGTTGTAGATGATTATTGTGATTGTATATATTTCTGAGATTAATGAAAAGAAAATTTTGATGAAGAGTATTTATGTGTTTAATTAGTCTATAAATTATATTGAAAATTATATAATTCTCTAAATTGGTCTTGAGGTTCCTGTCTTGTTACAATCCCACACAATATAACATGTACTGATTGTGGGTTATCTCAAGTCACATTGCGGCACTTTGGTTGGCAAATAGCTCAAAAGAGTTAGAAGACTTATGTTGTTTTAAAATGCAACTTCAAGGGATGTTTCAGCTATTTCTTCATTATGTTGGAATAGTTGAAGCATCACATTATAAGCATTGGAGCATCATATTGTGCAGAAATGAAGAATGATCAGCTTCTTAACTATAAGCAAAGATTTAAACCAAGGCCATGAATGAGATAATGAGAAGATTTCAAGTGATTAGACAGATTTGGTTTGTGTTGCACATACTACCCAATGTCAAGTCATACCAATGTCGCACTTAAGGCAAGGAGGTCACTTCAAGGATATGAAGATTCAATTACCAATATTAAGTTTAAATGATCCCCTAACACCAAACTCCATATCAAACCCTAGATCCACCACTGTCCTTCCAAGCTTTAGGAGTTTAAAGTGCTTAGTTTAAAGATAAGTCACAAAAAAACATGTTTGCGATGATATTGAATTAGGTTAGAGAATTATTAATTATTGATGTAACTACGTTTGAAGATTCCCTAAATATTCCTACTTGGAGTTTCAACCAAAAGATCGTAATCTTTAACACCTCATCAATACGCATGATGATCCTTGGGATTGATTCCAAATCTAAAGCTCCCTTGGGATGCATAAAAGCGATCCCGATTTTGGGATTAGCAAAAACCTAATTCAGGATTTGTTTGTTATCTTCTTCAACATGTAAAGAAGACTAATGCTTATAAAAAGAGATTCTAGATCTAGAGCTCAAGTAAACACATCTCCAAACTCTCTTGAATCTTCAAATCATCTCATATCTAGAGTTTTTGGAGAATTGGTAGCTTTGGCAATGCATGTGAGGTAATATCTTTGTGTGAGAAGGAAGATTTTTGTGAGGTAATCTCTTTGTGTGAGATTCTTAGGGATCTTCTTCTTCATGCATGGGTGTACTCTAAGTAGGAAAGAAGCCATTGCTCCTCTTGATTTTGTATACTACAATTATGGTTTAATCGTTGATAGTAGATCGAATATTGTCTACTCTCTCATGAGAGTAATCTTGGTAGAAACTGAACAACATAAACCTTGATGTATTCTGTGCTAAAATGTTTTCCCTCTTTTTGGGTGATTTATGGCACATTAATGCTTCCTTTTTAAAATATATGGCTTTCACACAAAAAAAGGAAATATTGAAACTCGCTTGGGTGCCAGATTTCAATTGTTTGAAGCTGGGATTACAACATGGAACTACAATAGGGGACTTACTACACATGCTAGGGTCGCACTTAACACTGACTGTGTTTTGGACGATTTTAATTTTAAGGACATATGAAAGTTGTTTCATGAAAACTAAAGATATTAAGAGGTTTTTCTTTGTTCTAGTAAAATAACGAATCGGGCATTTTATTTAGGTGCACATTTCTAAATCAAATCATGTACAATGGTAGAACAGTAGTGAGAGAGAGATAAGAATGAGAAAAGGGAGAAAATAGAGCCCAACTTGAGTAGAAAAGGGAGTGAGAATAAACGTGAGATAGATGGGAGAAGAGCAGCCGTTTCTTGCTAGAGAAAGTAGTAATATGCATTACAGCCATTCACTGATCAACCATTACAACCCTAAGTCACCTATTTGTAGAACAAGATCTAACTTAACCAAATATCTAAAAAAAAAACACAGGAATGCTAACATGACATAGATAAGAAACCCTAAAGACAGATAGAATGGTTTCACATTGTGATATAAAAAAAATTAAAATTTAATGCATGGAAAAATCCACAGTAAAGAATGATGCAGCAATTAAAATGGATCAGTCCAAGCCTACATTTTGTAACTATATTAATGCTCATTGCTCCTCTTGATTTTGTACGCTATAATTGTGGTTTATTTGTTAATAGTAGATCGAATATTCTCTACTCTCTCATAAGCATAATCTTGGTAGAAACTGAACAACATAAACCTTGATGTATTCTGAACAATAATGTCTTCTCTCTTTATGGGTGATTTGTGGAACGTTAGTGCTTCCTCATTAAAATATATGGCTTTCACACAAAAAAAAATATCGAAACTATCTTGGGTGCCAGAATTGTTAGAATCTGGGATTACTACAGGGAACTACAATAGGACTTACTACATGCTAGGGTCGCACTTAACACTGACTGGATTGTGGACAGTTTTAAGGGAATGTGAAAGTTGTTTCATGAAAACTAAATGGAATGAGAGGTTTTTCTTTGTTCTAGTAAAAGGACAAATCTGTCATTCCATTTAGGTGCAGATTTCTAAATCAGATCATGTTACAAAGGTAGAACAATGGACAAAGTAATAGAGAGCTAAGAATGAGAAAAATGGGAGAAAATAGAGCCCAACTTGAATAGAAAAGGGAGTGAGAACAAACTAGAGACAACTAGAGATAGATGGGAGAGGAGCAGCCGTTTGTTGCAAATAGAAAGTAGTAATATGCATTACAGTCATTCATTGAACCAGAGAGTCCAAACCTAAGCTTTGTTTCTTGGAGTTAGGTTATTGTTATGCAAAATAAAGATGCCTTTTTTTTTCTTTTTTCTTTTTTTTTTGCACAGATGGAGGAACTACTCCGCAGGCATTTTCTAGTAAATGATAGGTAAAAAGGATGCACATGTAAAGTAAAGAATAAAAATTGAGATGTGACGAGTTTTTTGGGGAAAAAAAAAAACAAAGTACAAGAAAGCACTGATAAATGAAGCTTTGGTAAATAAAAAATATCATTTTGACATACTAACCTCAAACTGCTCAAAGGAACGGTAAGCACCTCTGCCCAGCTTTTTCCTTACAGTCCCAAAATCCATTGGATGCTCAATGACATCATGATAGTCGGGAAGCTGCAAGAGAAACAGCAATATTGCAACTAGCAATCAAATATTATAGATCATATAAAAAATTTAATCCAATAAGAAGGCATTCATACCTCTTCGGGATCCACAGGATCCGCAAATGCATTATATGTATCCTTCCTGCCACATTCGCACGCAAAGCGAATCAAATCTCAGCAGTTAAACGAGCTCAGCAAAAGCATGATAGAAAATTAAGAACATGAATGGAACAACCGCGCGCACCTTTGGAGCTTAAGTAGAATTAACTCCAGCACCTTCTTCTCCGGCATTGGAGTTCCGTTCCACGAAGATGGAAAATAACCTGCAGAAGAACAAATTATGCCCTTCGTTAGAACCGAAGGTGAACTTTTCCAGCTATAGCTTAACCCTAAAGAAACGAAAATCAAAGGAAAAAACTCACCAGAACCATCGCCTGATGATCTTCTGAATGCATTTTTCTTGCTTTCCTGCAGGAAAAAATAAGCAGGGAATTAAAAAAAAAATCAAGAACTAAACTTGACTCCTAATGAACTGTAGACTTCTTTCCCCTGTTCTCTAAGCACTTCCTCGGTAAACTCAACATGGCAAGACGAGCGTGGGTACAGAAAGCCGCTGGTGAGCAAAAACCCTTTTTAGTTCGCAACGAAGCAACTTAGCCAGCTCCGTCGTCCTTCTGAAGGACGGGTTTAACTTTATATACCTCATGATAGCCGGATCTACACACGGCGACTGCCGCAGCATCGCCGCAGCGGTCGATCCGCCGCTTTTTAGGGGGCTTGACGGGCTCGACTTCATCATCTCCGTTCACGCCAAGCTCATCCTCGTCCGCATACGACGAAGAGGAGGACGAGGCCGGTGAGGGCGAAGGGGAGGACGACGACGAGGAGGAGGCCGTACTGACAGCCGCCGCCCGGCCAGGCCTGCCGGCGGGTGAACGAGGCAGCTTAACGACCAAGCGTAGCTTCTTCAGGCCGCGCTCCTCCTCTTCTTCTTCTTCTTCTTCGTGGTCAAACTCGTAGGCAGTGCCCTCGGACAGCTGCCGCCGCCTCCGGGGACGAAGACTACGTCTACGGCGAGTCTCAGGCGGCGGAGGAGGCGGCAGGTGACGAAGAAGAGGGGGATCGGGACGAGGAGGTCGCCCGTTGTGCTTGTTTCCCAGACGAATCTTGGTCGCCGCCGGCTTCGCCATCATTATCTCTCTTCTGTGCTCACTCTTCTCTCTCTTGCAAGCTGTTTACTTTTCTCTCTCTGTCTTTCTCTCTCCTCTATCTTCCAGCTTTAGCGGCCTTTTTTAATTTATTTATTTGTGGTTTATTTATTTAACTGAAGAAAAGTTGAAAAAGGATGAGAGAAGAGGAGAAATTGGGGAAAGGACGAAGAAGGTGGCGAAAGCTGGTGGGGGAGTCCACCCGGCCGTTAAATTACATGTTTGCCACCGCCGGTGCGTATTCGAACCGTTTGTTCGGTCTACCAGATCGGACAAATATTCGATGCTGGGTCCGTAATTAAAAATTAAAATTACTATCATAATAGATTTTCAGGTAATTTAATCTACTTATATTTCATATTCTTAATTATATTATTTTCAGTATGAATTTATGATTTTTTAAAATCATTTTAATATGTTTTGTATCAAAAATAATAATTAATTTTAAAAAATATATTTTTCCTTGCTTATAAATATTATAATAGTTCAAATTTTTAATTATCGAGATATTATATATTTTGGATTAATGATCTCACGGCAATAATCTTGCACAAACAGACTTAACTTTAGAGTTTCTTAATAAATTAACCACCATTATATTAAAAAGTTCCTCAATATATAAAAACTTAGCTTCTTTTTTATTTAAAAAATTTCACATATATAGTATTTTTTTCATTAATTTTCATTAATTATTTAAATGTCTTCATCATTAGTGACATATATTCACATCAGAAACAATTTTTCTAGAAGGAATTTGATTTTTTTGGTCAATTTTGCAGTCGTAATTTAGAAAAATTAGGAAAAAAAAAATATTTATCTAAAAATTCGTGAATAGAAAAATTAATAAATTTTGTCTTAATATAAAAGCATAGTATTTATAAAAGTTTGATATAAATATTATATGTTTTTAAGAGAAAAATAGGCCTCTTAGGAACTTTTAATTACTTTTTTGCTAACTAACCGAATTTAATTCAATTAATATTTTCATAACATTCGAATAAAATTTAGTAAAAGTTAACAACAATCACGAAAAAATTTGATCTATAACTAAGTATTCTTCAAATCCTAATCAAATATTAGTTGTTCTTAATTTTAAAAAAAAATTGAATATGCTTTGAATTATATTAGAATAAGATTTTCATTTTTAGAAAAATTTATAAAATATTTTTAGCTATAAAATGTACTCTTGAAGAATGTCGGTATTGAAACCATTTAAAATCATATAGGTTTAGTTTGAGACAGCTTTTTCTTTTATTTATAAAAAACTTTTTAATACAAAAATTTATTAAACTAAAAATTTTCGTAATAAAAATTTACTTTGGAAATCAATAAAAATGTTGGGATAACGGATAAGGTTTGGTTTATGACAGCTTTATTATTGTTTTTTATAGTAGCTTTCAATATACAAATTTTTTCAGCTATAAATTTTTGTACTAAAAACTAGAAAGAAGCTTTAGAAAGCAATAAGAAAATTATGTTTCGTTTGAGATGATTTTCTTTGTGTTTTCTAAAGCAATTTTTTAGTACAAAATTATTTTAATTAAAATATTTTGTGCTTAAATTTTACTTTAAAAAGTAATAAGAAAGCTATCTCAGAAGCTAGACTTCATTTGGGACAGTTTTCTTACTCTTTTCTACAACAATTTTTTAGTATAAAAATTTATTGAAAACGATGAAAAGTAGTGGTCAAAAGTACTCCGGCTTGTTTATTGCTTCTTAAAATATTTTTTTAACAAAAATTTTAGTTTTTTTGTTATAAATCTGCTTTAAGAAGTAATAAAAAAGTCACCCCAAATAAAATCTTAGGATTCTTTTGAGACATTTTTAGACAACTATTTTTTTCTATGATTTCAAAAGATTTTTATACCAAAAAGCATCTTTACAAAGCAATAAGAAAGCCGTCACAAACAAAGCCTTAGGCTTCGTTTGGGTCGGCTTTCTTACTGCTTCTTAAAGCAGCTTATTAGTATAAAAATTAAAATTTGTATACTAAAAAACTGCTTTAAGAAGCAATAAGAAAGTCGTCTCAAACGATGTCTTAGTCTCATGTAAAAAAAATCGCAAAAAAACTAAAAAAGATTGAGTTATACAAAGAAAGCAATTAGAAAAATCCCAAATAATTCCAATATATTTTTTAAGGAAAACCCCTATTTTTTTTTCCTAAGCATTTAGCCTCGTGATTCTTAGGAGGAAAGATGTGGTATATTCTCTTTATTTAAGAGGATATTTGAGTCAATTAAGATAAATTCATACATATTACATATACAAAATCTCTTAATTAATAGACGAAACTCCTAACGGACCATTCAAAAATGACCTTCTTTGATGTGATATTCTCATATCTTATAAGGTTTGCAAAGGCTTAAGTACAATATGGACTAATTGATTGGAATTAAAAACCCAAGCTGTTCCAGAAGCGAAAAGAAAAGCTATTCTGAAGTCATTGAGAGAAAGAGAAAAAAATATTTTTTCATTGAAGACAAATAATTGATAAAGAGGGGGCTAATTAACAATATACAAATGAACAAAATAAAAAAAAAATTAATAGGGCATACAAAGAAATTATATGCTAAGTGCCAAAGACATATGGACTATGGAGTTTATCAATCAAGCAAAGCTAGTGATACGTTGCATCGCCTTAGCAGCTTAAGTATGATTGCGACATCCTTCTTTTAGAGGAATCTATGTTTTTTTTTTTATTTTTTAGCATAAGCCCTATTTTCATAATTCTTAGAAGGCATGATGTGCTCTTCTCTCATCTTATTGGAGACATCCATTATGGTATGCCGGCTACTCTCACTGCTCCCTCCAACCTCAGTCTCCCACCAACTACTGTCATCCGCGACTACAGTCCCTCTAACCATCGGTGTCCGTTGACTATGGTCCATCAGACCATCATCGCTTACCAACGATCACAGTCCCTCCAACCATTGTCACACAACAACGGTCTCTACGGCCTCCATCACCTAACTGTGTTCTCTCTAACCTCTATCGCTCGACTACGATCCCTTAAACCATAGTTGCCTGCCAATTACGGTTCCTTCGACCTCCGTCGCACGACAATGGTGCATCCAACCTTTGTCACCTAACAACAATCCCTCCAACATTTGTAACATGATAATAGTCCCTCTAACCTCCGCCACCCGCTTAATACGATCCATCCAACCACCATCTCCCACCGACAACAGTCCCCTCTACCTCAGTTGTCTGACTATGATCCCTCCACCTCAATCACTTAACTATGGTCCCTCCGACCTCCGTCGACCGACTATATATGGTCATACCAACTAAATGAACAGGTCAACGTTCTCTTGAGAATAACTCTTATATTATTGGATTCTTCCATCTCTAACCATGTAATGAGTTCTATATCATGCATATCTAATACATTGAGTCAATACCTTTCCCGAATAAAAAAAAAACATCTTTTGTAATCAACTATAAACAATAGTATAATCATTTTAATTGGATCATACCATGTGATTTTTCCCCTTTTAAGGATTTTCCACGTAAAAATTATGGTGTCCCGTATGATTTTGCACTTCTCTTATTTGTTTTTTTTTTATGGATCTTCGTTCAAAGCTATAAAATTAAGCACTTTATCCCTCTACCGTCGTGAATGTTCGGGCATGCAACAACTATAATTATTTTTCAACATGAAATAATGGAATACGTTTTATCTTAAAGTTCTTCAAAATGACACTCACTACCAACAAATCATATTTTGCAGCACTTTTTATAACATGTTCCAACGATTTAAACACCTACTAATTTACAAGTAATGGTTTAAGAACCACTGCAAATCCGTTATATTTGTGTTTGCTGGAAAGGCCTTAGCAGCGATTTCATAAGTGTTGTTATAGGAAGGCTTTAGCTGCACTTTTAGCAGTGGTTAAAACTTAAAACTGATGCTAAAGTGTGAAGTCAAGCAGGAGCTAGGGCTTGAGAGGTAACAATGAATTTGAAATTGTTTATAGCGGCAGTTTGCAAACCGCGGCTATAAAATCGCAGCAAAAATCTTAATTCAATTGATAGATTTTAGCAATGGTGAAAACCGTTGTCTATATCAATCTTTAGTGCCGGTTTACAAACCGTCATACAAATCATCGCTAATAACTACTGCGAAAATTCTATATTTTTTACACCGACCTTTCACACCTTCAATGGAATTACAGAAATTTTCAGCACCATTATATTTTAAGGTGTCAAAATGGTTCTTCAATGTCATTCTTAGTATGTTTGCATGTTTTTTCCTTCCATGCTTTTTTTTTTTAATGTAGCCTCTCTCATATCAACAAGCTTTACTTCTCCATTTTTACTCAAGAACAAACTTTTTTTTTTTCCTTATTACTTCAGAACAATATATTGCGCAACATATATTTATGCAACAAATGAACAAATATATAAAAAAAGAGAGTATATATGCTTTTATTCCAGAATATAAATATTGTTGTATAAGCTACATTGACAAATTATAAAAGGGAAATTTACATACATACCACTTTATACTATTCTATTTACATATCTAACGCCTAAAATTTTAATATTACATACATATATACCACCTGATATTATTTTAATATCAAATATATCACTCATATTTCCTTCCTACCACTTATATATTGCATTTCTACCACTCATATTTGATATGAAAATAAACTATGGGTGTTATGTACGTAATATTAAAGTTTTATGTGTTAAATATATAAGTAGAGTAGTATAAAGTGGTATATATGTAAATCTCCCATTATAAAATTACTCATAAGTTACTAGATAATTGGAAGGAATCATACTCATATTATGTCGCTCGCTTTCTTCCTGCTTTATGAAATATCTTTTTAGAAGAACAATTTTGAACGATAAATTTTTTTGTACTAGAAAGTAATAAAAATGTTGTCTCAAACAAAATCTAAATATACTATCTAAAATGTTTCTTCAAAAAACCTTGGCAAATATACCAGCTAATTGATCTTATGACTTTATAAATGAAAGTTGGACCGTTTTTGTTGTAAGCTTTTCCTCAATGAAATGTTGATCCACTACAACCTGCTTTGCTCAATCTTTTTGAATTAAATTTGGTGTCATATCAA